TAATACTGGGGAACCAACACACATACTGGGAGGAACATTGGACCTCACATTCATCTCCACTGAGCTCGTTCCATTAGCTCAGTGGGAGGTAGATGATGAACTGACCAGTGACCACTTTGTAACGACAACTACTTTGAGGATGGAGCTACTCCCTCCTCCCCCACGTCCGCCACCCAGATGTAATACGAAAAATGCAAATTGGAAATTATATCAAGATGAGATCCAAAAATAGTATTCGAACTATGAACCAGCAGAAGATATTGACCAACTAAACCAGGACCTTGCTGATGCCAAACAACACGCAGCAGAGAAAGCATTACCAAAAACAAACCCTACATATAGACACCACAAAGACTACTGGTTCTACAATGACGAAGTCAGAGAACAGAATCACAGAATCAACACATTCAGAAGACATCTCCGACAGTACCCTTCCCCTGAGGGAGTGAAACTCTTGAGAGCTGCTGTCCAACACGCTCGTTAAAAATGCACACATCAGCCTGAGTGAACTCTGGAGAAAACTCAGGATAGCAACAGGAAAACTGCCCAGAGCTCCGGCCCACCCCCAGCCACTGCAGGGAGCAAATCGCTTGGCAGAGCACTTTGCAGAACGCTCGTCATCAGCTCAACTACTTCCAGAAATAGGAATTCATCTACAGCAAGTACAACTGGAGAGAGAAGTAGTAGTCAGGCATGCAATTGAACAAACTGAAACTACAGACTGTCTGTATACTATCGAAGAAATCAGAAGGGCCAGGGAAACAAGCAAGACACAGCCCCTGGCAGTGATGGTATAACCTATTCATTGCTCAGCAATGCAGGACTTGCTGGTGAACTTGCTTTCCTAACAGTTATCAACGCATCATGGTCAGCAGGCAAACTCCCGTCAGCTTGGAAAAGAGCAAACATTGTTCCTATTCCCAAACCCAATGATCCCCAGAATTTCAGACAAATATCACTAACAGCATGCATCGGCAAAACCGCCGAAAGGATGGTCCTAACACGACTCCTCTGGAAAACTGGACCACCACCACAATATCTTAGGATTCACTAAATGTGTGAGCACTGCACACAGCTTGGTCACTCTCATGGGATCGATTGGTGAAAATAAGGCAATCGAAGTATTCCTTGATCTAGAGAAAGCATCTGAGCTGGCAAATGCACAGGCCATTGTAACCACTCTGGCCCGGAAAGGCGTCAAGGGATGCCTACTGGCTTGGAGTGCTGACTATCTCCAAAACAGAACAGCAAGAGTTACCTGCCAAGGATGAGACTCAGATCACCAAAGACTGGAAAATGGCACACCACAAGGTGGAGATCTTAGTCCAACTGTCATCAACATCCTCATGGAAAACTTGTGTCGGCTCCCCTTTCAAGAGGGCACCAAACTGTTACGCTATGCTGACGACTTAGCACTGATAGTAAAAGGCAGAAACCAGATCAGCAAAGTCCAAAGAGCACTAGACCTCATCAGTGAAGAATATATGAGTCTCAGACTCAAGATATCACTCCCAAAATTGAAAGCCATGAGGATTAGCCACAATGAGCCGGTGACACAACTGCAAATACAAGGTATTGCCCTACAATGGGTCTATGTATAAAAATACCTGGGCATCTGGATTGACAAAGGCCTCAAATTTGACACCGAGATAAACTATCTAAGAGACCGAATGAGCAAGAGAGTCATCATGATGAGAGCCATAACAGGACAGAAGGTGGGTGCGGGACATGTAGTCCTAAGAACGCTACATATACACGCCATTCGATCATTAACAGACTATGCGACACTGGCTCTTAACACACTGTCTGAGTGGCAGTGGGAGAAATTGGAGGTTGCCCAGCATATCGCTATGAGAGTCACTGTCAAGGCACCTATGTGGACAAAAATTTAAAACTTACACATGGCGACAGGTCTCACATCTCTCCAAACCTGGGCGGAACGATTAACAGCATGTTTTGCAACAAAACTGATTACCAGGGCTCGGGAAAGTGACATAAAGAATGGACTCTTATGAGCAATGAACCTTAACAGAGATGTCTTTAATAAGAAAACATGGCTATTGAGCGCATCTGACGCTGTAAATTGACTGGAATTGAAAGACACAATCCTCGGCAAAGGACTTTATATAATGAGCCCAGACTACAGCACCCCAGCACCGTGGGAGTCCCAGCCTGCAGTCTTCAACATTCTACAAACTGGGACAAGAAAGGCTGACTGTAACCCACATGAGCTCCGACAGGTAGCAGAGAGAAACATGAAGGCTCTAAAACCACACAATAGTACAGTGTGTTACACAGACGGTTCCGTAGAGCCCACCAAAACGAAGGCAGGAGCAGCCTTCACCACAGAAAGAGGTAACAGATGGATGCTCTACTTTGCAAGTTGAGCTAGCTGTCATACTTGGAGCCCTAAGTCACGCTTCCATAAACAGTCAACAAGGCGTTGTAATACGCACGGACTCATGATGTGCTATTGACGCACTACAATGCAGAGAGCCTAGAGACAACATTCATCTCATAACATCCGTTGTTGGCCTACTGCAAGAGTTAGAACTACAAGATCGGCAAATTATCATTAACTGGGTGCCTAGTCATATCGGAATCCCAGGGAATGAACGAGCCTATGCTGGTGCCAAGGCTGCGTTAGGACAGGGAAACATTGATATGAACATCCCTCCAAGTCTTGAGCAGATAATGAAGACCACTATAACACGAACTGCCCTGTGGAAAATAGACAAACATAGAAGATTAACACCAACATCACGATCGGCCAGGTGGTACTATCTGGTCACGAATTATGAGAGACCACCACTCATGAAGGATATAACAAGAGGGGAAGAAGCCATCTTCCACCGACTGAGACTGGGATACTCATGCATATGGGAAATAATTGAACAAGTACCAGCAGAGCAGTGCATGTGCAAGACCTGCGACACAATTAGCTAGGAGAAGCATACAACCCCCTATCACAGCAGAGAAGGTTGCCTAAATGCTAACCACCAACCACTCTCAAGAAACCCTACAGTTTTGTTACGGAGCATCCATCCCCATGCTAGTGGTGGAGATGTTCAGCTAACTAAAAAGATGCTGGTGTTTTATCCCAGCAGTGGGTGGACCAGCATTTTAGCGTAGGTAATATTCTTATAAATCTTTAAAAAAAAAAAATCCTCAGGACTCGCTTCGTTTTTCATCATTAACCTGTCAACATTGTGACGGTGACTTCGCTGAGCATCTGTCAGTCATCCCTGTTCAGCTAAGTAATATAGCTAATTCGCTAGGCCACCCTGCGGGAGGCTCCACATTGTCTCACTGTAGTGCATAAAGGTGTCTGCTTTGTTCCTGACTTTGTACTCGTCAGAAGGCATGTTTTCCAGAGCATTTTTAAATGACTCTACATACATGTTGCGCTCATGCAGCATTTCTTGGATAGATAGGACAATGTCATGTCTGACACCTTGAATGTTGCCACACCTGATAGTAGTCTGCTTTTCATGATCTCCCATGAAGTAGATTTGGAGGAACTTTGCCTGCTCATCTTCCAGTGGTAAGAGGGATCCTGCTTTGTGATAGACTTGACCCTGGACTTTGAATGTGGGCATGTATCCGTGCTCACGAACTACTCTGGTAGCTCCAAAGGATGTCATCTGGAAGCATGAATTGTACTTCCGTATATTTTCCAAGAAGTGTTTTGACTCTGATGTTGTTCCCAGCATGAGAGTCTTCAATGGTTGTGGTGGTTTTTCCAAATTTGGCAGTCGTACTTTCCCATGAGAGCAGCACAGTCCAGCAGATTCTCTTTTGTACTTCTTTGCACTGCAGTGTTCACATTTCTTATCCATGTTGCCAATGACAACAGAGGGATATTTTTCATATTGTATATATAACATCATCCATCATCACTACATACAACACCATCCATCATCACTATATATGACACCATCCATCATCACTACAGATCGGCAAAGTAGTATCCGAAATTCTCGCGCGGACGCACAAACAAACAGAGAGACTTCTTAGTTTTATATAGATATAGATCATCACTACATATAGCACCACCCATCATCACTACATATAACAACATCCATCATCACTACATATAACACCACCCATCATCACTACATATAACAACATCCATCATCACTACATATAACACCACCCATCATCACTACATATAACAACATCCATCATCACTACATATGACAACATCCATCATCACTACATATAACATCAGGGAGGGCCTTACAAGGGGCTGGCATCCTGATTTTCGAAGACTTTTGACGTGACGTCAAATTGATTGGCTGTTAGATGACGTTATCTCCCTTGGGAACTAGCGTTTGCAGGGGAGGGGGCGGGGGTCGATGCCACTAGAAACGCCAGTGTGGCGGGAGTCTGCATGGTCATACATTTTACATTCCCACGAATATGTGGTTGTGAGACTTGCCATTTTTATTAAATATTTTAACTTTTTGTGTAATTTCCTTATTGTGTAATTATTCTGTACTGTATATATTAGTATTGATATTGATCACAATTAATTATCTGATGGTATAGGTTTAACTACCACCCATACTTGATATTAGTTTATTGACATCTTTGTATTTATGATAAATACTTTCATTGAAACCCACTAGTTATTTATTCACGAGTAAAATCTAAGGTTAACATCTTACATAATCATATTCTGTGAATACCTCAAGAACATTTAAGTGCATCTTAAATTGTTAGTTCTACCCGGTGACTTATTATTATTATTATTATTATTATTATTATTATTATTATTATTATTATTATTATTATTATTATTATTATTATTTTTATTATTATTATTATTTTGATTTAGTCACAAATAAAAGATGGGACTTTAAAAAGTTCGATAATACACATTTGGTTTCATTGATTACAATTATGCTTTAAATTACAGTAAGTAGTCAACTTTGTTTCTGGTGTTTGGTTATTAAGCAATATATAATAATTTCTTTATTAACTGTTTTTTTTTGTACCTTAAAAGAGCCGGAGTTTTAAAGGAACCCCGTTTCTTCTCGTTAAGCGTCTCCTTATCCATCATCGGAGACGCCCCCTTGGATATCTCAAACTGTTGAAGGAGATAACAATGCATAAAAAAATGTGAAAAAGAAAATTTTTAAGAGAATACCAGCGAGAGTTTTGGAACCCAAACAAATTATAATTAAAACGTCATGGAAATGTTGCAATTGATGAAAGCACAACTGCTGAGACTACCTCGGCCTGGATGTCACTCATCATGAGACGTAGCTCTTCTTCGGGAGGCAGGGTGGACTTATTGAGCCTGGCGACCCTCCTCAAAACCTTCAGCGCCTGCTCGTGCCTCCCTTTCACGATCAGCCACCGTGGTGACTCGTCTATTAGACTGAAGAAGAGAGACATAAGACAAACAGATGGAATAATGAAATATTCGAGAAAGGAGATTCATAACACACTTAACAAAATATTAACAGAGGAAAACTGCAGGTTTTGTCATCAGTCCCTCAGGACACTGTTGCTGTTTACTCCTTGAATGTTAATGTTAGGGTTCAAAGTGATTGAAAAGAAGTTATTAACTACTGTAGATTCATACTAAAGACGTATATACTTAAAAGACCTCTCTTGGTTAACACTGAGGGAGGTCATACATTTCTGGCACAAGGAAGAAGTACAGTACTCACTGAAACAAGGCTATCACTCGTCAGTACAGCAGTATGGTCAGGTAGTACTCACAAAAGGAAGCCTATGATCAGCAACATGGGCAGGGAGGCAGTAAACTGCAGCCATCGCCAGTCACGGATAAGATAGGCTAGGGCGCCCCAGGCCATCATGCCCAGAGCCCATGGCAGACCCAGCAGCACCCCCACCACGGACCTCATCCGCACCTCACACACCTCCATCGCTGCAACATAACCACAATACATGTACTGTATATGGTCTATGCCGGCGTGGAACAATTCCAGTGGCAATGTAATTCTTTACATTTATTTTTCATGTGGTCAATTGTGTAAGGATGCCCCTGTTGAGGTTAAGTAAGTAGCAAAGTCTGGTCGAGCGGCTTCCCAGAAATCTTCTCTCTTAGTTCACTTAAGGAATCAATGTAGATATTCCAGTTGGTTTTAGTACCTTATAATGAAGGTTTAATGGAAATCCCATAGTACGAGTACACAAAAATGTATTCTCTGGAATAAAAATTACAGAGAGTGCCGAGGCTCAAACCCTCTCGGAGAGTGTGTGTTGAGAAAGGCTGTTACTTTGAACCGGCTATTGACTTACTGACGGACTAACTTCCCGGCACATTCGCCGGGAGTCGGGCGATATGACTCCAACTTACTTAACATGGTGCAATACCCCAGGTGTTTCCAGGTTACTTTAGTAAGTCCAAACTATGGCGTTCACTAAGCGATTAGCAGGCAACATCCAGTCGGGAGTCACTACATGTTTAGAAAATATCTAGCTACTTCGTAAGATGTTTGGCTCCACTAATGCGTCAACCATACTAGGAAACATCAATAACTTGGGATAAACTATACTGGATTAAGATGGCCACCTGCAATGGCGCGGCTTACAATTGCAGTTACAGATGACAAAGAAATACAAATGATTACAGTTACTTTGACACGTAATTGATGACATCAAAGGTATACGGTACAGGCAGACAAGGTTTAGAAAAGCGTGAATATATATTTGTTGAAGTATTAATTTTTTACTATAATAGTGTATCGATTATACTGTTATATTGAAAGTAATTAATTACAATCGAAATTACTACACTTTGTAGTCTAAAAAGGTTACTGAAAAATTAAATTAAAATAATAAAGAACAGTTACCACATGCCAGGTTGTATGTAGGTAAGATATAGTCCTTACTACATAAATGATGTGATCCTTATGTGATCCTTACCATGCAAGTATTAGATGCTGTTTATTCTGCTAGATGTTTTATTATAACTGCACTTTTAGTACTTACTCTCATGTAGGAATTCTATGCTATCTCTTCAATTTTAATCTGAAAGTTTCAAAGCAAATGTCATTCCAGTCAAATGACCTTTAACCTGTGACTTTAGTCTCTGGCAAATTTCAGTCATATAAAAGTACTTTGCATGGATGTTTAAAGTACTTATTTTCAAATGATAGTTTCCTCAGAGTGTCTACAAGACAAGAGGATAACCCTCCCAGTATGATGTACCCTAGAAGCTTAAGAATTATTATACTGAAATTTAAATCAGAGATAAAAAAACGACCTGTTTCAAGGGATGAATTTTTGGAATTCAATCTCCTCTTCCAAAATCAATAGTAAAACATCATTAAATGCATTCTTCACCAGGTATTGAATAAATAACGAGATGAAATAGGATTGGTGTCCGGTGTACTCGAACCTACCGACTCCCACTTCTCGGCGTCGATTACTACTATGCAACAGCTATCGTCTAGTATGGTCTCGAGGTGACCAATCATCGCCGTGAGCTTAAAAATGTAATATCGTTTTGGCACAAATCGCAGTTGGGAGGGTCATGTATTTAAATCGTCGCAACGGCCTATTCTCCACTTGAGAACTGAACCTCGGCGAGGTAGGATCTTTCTGCTCCCGAGGTACCACGTGAACCAGACAATGTTCACCTGTAACCAGGCGAAGGTTCGTCAGACTGTATCCAGTCAAGCGCCCTTCGCGCAAGCAACTGAACCTCCTTGTCCTGAGGAAGTTTTTTGACTCCTCAGGAATCACGGGGGTGACAAGGGTCGTCCGCAGAGACACCTTCGCGGAATGGGGAGAGGCCCAGCAACTAGAAAACCTAAGAGAAATCAACGGGATCCAGATCCAAGTTGAAGCCTGCATAGAAGACAACTTGGTTTTGGGAGTCATCTCCCACACAGAAATTGAACATCTAGAAAAGCAAGAACTGGCCGAGCTGATCGGAGACCAGCTGTCAATAGTTCGGAAGCTGACCAGTACAGCTGCACTGGTTGGCTACCCAAAGAAACTACCAAGCACCGTTTTGCTGGGATGGGAGAAGATCCCAGTAAGACCGGATCAACGAAGGCCTACAAGATGCTACAAATGCCAGAGGTACGGCCATCTGGCGCGGAAGTGTCGTGCTCGGGAGGTGTGTTCCAGCTGCGGGACACCCGGTCACCAGGACACCAACTGCTCGGCGCCCGCCAAGAAGTGCGCAGCTTGTGGTGGCCCTCACTCCTCCTCCGACCGGGAGTGTCCCAAGTGGAGGGAGTAGTGTAGGGTGGCCAAGCTGCGAAGTAAGGAAAGACTGAGCTACAAGGAGGCTCTCCTTGTAGTGAAATCTGAAGAAAAGACCAATCAAGACCCGAACAAGACCACAACAAATAAAAATCAAGACCCCAAGAATATCACGGAAAAAAAGAAGCCAAAATTAAACCCGATTTTATAACACTATCATTAATACCGTTTATAGACGTTGTTACGAACCCCTCCACCCTGCACTACGAACCACGCCATCTATTGTCCTGATCTACCTACCCAGCACCACGAGCAACGCCATCTAGGGACGAGACACGAGTATGACTCGTCTTAGTTAACACTCCGGGGTTTCCCTTCTCCATATCCTGGTTGTTGCGTCACTTCCTCCAAGTCTTCTTTGTGAGCTCCAATTCGAGGAGAGAGCACTTGGCTCTGGGAAGTGACCACAGGATCATCTATCCTTTAAACCTGCGGCGCAGTGACTACCTACCGTCTTCTACAATACTCAGCCTTACTCGTCAGCCATCTCAGCTCCTCACTTAAGTACTTGTATCTTGTATTGCCTCCCCCACGTCCACTTGCTTCAAAATTGTTTATGTTGTATTAATATGTATATTCTGTTAATGTTTAGGTTAAGTTTGGTTAAGGGTAATTTATAAGCTGAATATTTTGTTTAGGGATTTATGGTACTTTATTATACACAACGAAAACTCGCATCCTTTGTCTACCCTTTTATAGTCCGATTGTCTTTGTTTGTTTTTGTTTTTTTTACCTGTTGGGATCTGGGTAGACGTATAACTATATTCTAAATCCCCAACTCGTAACAAATGGCGACCGTGACAGGACCCGACCTTAAGTACCATATTCCTTCCTCCCTTGTTACTCATTGTTAATTATTCCTCCCAGTCACTTCTGTTCACAATTGCTTTACGGTGGTTTAAAGTTTCTTTCATATGTGTGTGCATATTACTGGTATTATCGTACAGTAAGAGTGACAGACGTAGGATATTAGGTTCCAAGTGTCATAAGGCTTACCTGTTATTACACGTGGCAGTCGTGTAGTAAGTCTTATCGAGTGTAGGGAAGAATCCGGATCTGTTTAATGCCGTACCCTCACTCCAGAGTAGGCTGTTCCATAGTCACTAGTTTACGGTGAAGTGATATCTTGGGACGCCCCGCTCTACCGGGACCCCATAATTATAAAGCCTCAATTATTGTTCTTCTCATTATCTCATTCAGGGTCAATCATACCATTTATCGGGGTTGTTAATCCGGATCTTTATATAAATGCCGTAATACGCCCTTCCTCTTTCAAGTATATCAGGGTTGTTAATCCGGATCTTTATATTAATGCCGTAATACGCCCTTCCTCTTTAAAGTATCTCGGGGTTGTTAATCCGGATCTTTATATAAATGCCGTAATACGCCCTTCCTCTTTCAAGTATCTCAGGGTTGTTAATCCGGATCTTTATATTAATGCCGTAATACGCCCTTCCTCTTTAAAGTATCTCAAGGTTGTTAATCCGGATCTTTATATTAATGCCGTAATACGCCCTACCTCTTTCAAGTCTCTTATCCTTATCTAAGGATCTTCTCAGAAGAACAATAATCATAAGTGTAATTTCCCTAGGTATAACTTGGGTAGTTTCCGGGACTTTCTGGTTATCCACTGCCGTGATATTTTCTAGGGTAATCCACTTATCTTATCTTTTTGACCATTAATTAATTTATCTAGGTTTTCTTAATGGCCACCTCAGGATTTGTTAAACTTGGTAGTCCTGGAGGAGTGGAAGAGCAAGATACCATTTCACATCATGAAGCATGTGGAGGAGCATGGAGAGGTTAATTTAGGACGTGCGGCTGAGCTGGCTGATGAGTACGCCTTGCTGGTGGAGTCACTGTGCCGTAGGGAACGTGGTACTTCCCGACATGTTAGGTCCTCCTCTGATGATAACCTTTGGGGCGTGAGTGGTAGGTCGAAAGGTCCCACACCTACTCCCCCCGATGCAACCAAGCTTACTTGTTCTTACTGTAAAAACCCAGGCCATACAATCCAGAGTTGTAAACACCCAAAGTGTCGAATTGCTAAAAGTAGTTACCTGGATCCCAAATCCAAACCAATAGCAAATACCAATGTGGAAAGGCCCCATCAGGATCTCTTCTCTTCATTCACCTATGAGGGAAAAATTTCAATCATGGAGGGGTCTCGTTCTTTCCCTATTCGTATACTACGTGATACGGGCGCAGCACAATCTATCCTCCTGTTTAAGGTCATTCCTGATATATCTACCGCATTTACTAATGAGTGTTCTAATTTCGGATCTCTCATCCCATTCTTCCTATCCTTTAGCTAAAGTGCACCTCCAATGTCCCTTGATTACTGGGAAAGTGCAAATAGCCATTAGGAAAGACCCAATGCCTGTGTGCGGCATTCATTTATTATTGGGTAATGACTTGGTAGGAGATCTAGTGGTTCCTAACATAAAGACAGTCGACTCTCCCTTACCTGTCAACTCCACCACTGACCTAAAAGAAACTATTCCTCATCTTTTCCCATCTTGTGCTGTCACCCGGTCACAGAGTGTGCGAAATGGGCCCTCTTTATCTAAAACCACCTCCAATATCTTACTACCCACAGAAAATCTGTACAATAAGACCATTAGTAAGGATGAGCTCATTACAGCCCAA